TTCGAGCCGCAGTGGCTACCCCAGCCATGGCCGGACTCTAGGGAGTCCAGCCATGGCTGAGGTAGCCGCCATGGGTCAGATCCAAGCCGCGGGGGGGAGGGAAAAAACCGGATAATCCGTTCCAATTGGAACGGATTAACCGGTTTTCAATGCATTCCTATGGGAAATGGTGCTTCACATAACGATGTTTTCACATAACGTTTTTTTTCTGGAACCAATTAACATCGTTATGCGAGGCACCACTGTATTTAGGCATTAAAAATGACAGGGAGGCAGATGGGCCATATTTGTTCAATCAGAAACAAGGTAGTTTAGCTCTATGTTGTTAGTTTATGTTATTAATTAAAATCATATAAACTAACAACACAATTAGCGTCCTTTTAAGTAGAAAGGCAGGGTGATATATTTTAAATAAATAAAATAAATAATTTATGAACCGTTGCTTGATTTCTTATTATGAATGTTTGATTTTCTTTTGCTTGTTACCTGCCCAGAATAAGGCTTTGCATTATAGGGGCAGTATATCAATCTATGAAATTATAAATACAATAAATACAGAAATAGATATAAATGTCATCTACTAGCAAAAAAAGTAATTGGATATAATTTCATTAGTTTACAGCCTTAGAATATGTTTAAGTTCCTCGGGTATACTGATTTCTATTATTCAGCAATACCTGTAGCCCATATTTTACAAATGTCTGGTATTGCTGTTTTAACCCAAACATTAACATTTATCTTAACAAAATGGTTTTCCATAATATGTGAATGGTAGTACTGTATAGATAAAACTCTTGTCTGATTAATCCATACACCCATTCCAAAACCAGCATATACCAATCTCAAAATATGAATTTAAAAGCATCAGAATCATATGACAACGCATCTCATTCTCTCTTGGCCTAATTTTAAGGCAGTTAAATATTGTTTTCTTGTGGTATAACATTACATTATGAATTATATACATTTTAAGAAAAAATTTGTTAATTAAGGTAGCAAAGTTCTACAGAAAAATTTTGAAATGCATATGAATCTTTGTTGACTAATTACAGTGGATCCCAACCTTTTTGATACCAGGGACTGGTTTAGTTGACCTTTCTCCCGAGGACTGGGGGCGGTGGCGGTGGGAGAGTGGGTGGTGCAGGCAGGGGGGCGTGTGTGCATGTGGGAGGCAGGGGGTGGGAGTGCAAGTTCGTGTTCCTTGAGGCCTCAAAATCTGTCTCAGCGGCCCGGTCCATCAAAGGCCATGGACCGGAACCAGTCTGTGGCCCAGGGATTGGGGGCCCCTGGAGTAATAGGTACATTCTTTTTGTCTTTTGCACCAGAAGACTGGGATAAGCAACATGTGGCCAATGAGTTACATATGGCTCCCAGGGGCATTTTGGAAACACCCGAGATCCCAACACCCCATACTCCTCATTTTTAAAATGTTGAAAAAAAGTGCTTAGAAAATGTTGCTTTGTGTACAAAGGCCCCAATATCCCCAGAATTTTATTATATAAAGTAAAAAATTGGCTCTGGTCACTAGAGGGCACAAGGGGTAGGTTTTTAAAAACATTATTTTGAAAATGTTGAGCACATTTTTCATTTTCCTTTTAGCCTAGTTGGATGTTCTTTTTAACTGTGTACTAGTTAGAATTTGCCAGCTTGAAAAAAGCTTTGCAAGTCAAGACTTGAGAGAAACCTTTAAAATGATCGTAAGTAGGCAGAAGGCAGATATGACAATTGCACCGTTCTTGCTGGTACACATTCCTGTTAATAACTTCAAAAATGAATGTCCTTACCTTGAATGTACAGTAGCCTCATCTGGCCATTTAAGGTACACTAGCTGATGACAATATAATATCATCATTTGAAACTATTATGTGACAAATTTAGTTTCAGTACAAGGTGGATGAGTCATTCTATGGAACCCCTAACAGAGATTGTTCCATTGCCTCAGTCACTACTGTTATATAATTGTTCAGCCTTTTTGTCTTGTTTGTGCTATATAAATCAATGGGTGGTTTTGCATGAGGAGGTGGATAATTTCTTAAAAACGCTTCCACACAGTGTATGTGAAGAGTGCTGTTCTCTACTACAACTTCCACTATTTTCTTTTGGACACTGGAAATAAATGAAATAAAGAACATTTGGTAGTCTGTGCTTTCATGAGAGAAAGGTCGGAATAGTTGTTTGCAACTGTGATTTTAAAAAATGGTATTAGAGAAGATACAGACACATTTCTGTCAGTTGTTATAAGCTGTTACAGGTAGAGCCAGGTAGGACAAGGTGCAGAACCTCTTTGCAGTGGTCCTCTTCAGGGTGCTGTAGAATGATATCCCTGCCCATGTTTTCAGGGGATTGGTAGATGCATAAACAAAATAAGCCTGACGCGAATGTTCCTACTTTCCCTTGGTTTCTTCACTAACTCAAATTAAATATTAAATTTTATTTTAGATCATTTTATTCAAGTCCATGACCTAAACTGAAACTGGAATTTTCATTCTCTCCCTATGAAACCTTCTACAATGACTCATGCTACTAACCTGTTGATGATTTGTGGGGAAAGGGGAAGCGTGAAACTGATAATGTAGTCTTGAAACTAAAGGGTTTGTAGAAGTCCTCATTTACTCAAAGGTATGTGTGTAGTAGTAATAGTAGATCCCGTTGAAGCAGTATTTTTCAGATAAATACTGTAGTTGCTTCTGCATAGAAGCATAGGAACATAGGAAGTGGTCTTATACTGTCTTAGACCATTAGTCCATCTGCCCCAGAACAGTCAACTCTGACCAGCAGTGCTGCTCCATCTTGTGTCATTGTTGGTGGATACTTTGATTATCACTCACAGTACATTCTCAGCTAAATCAGTGTACTCTACTCTTCTAAAAAAATGAAAGACTGTGTTTTGTTTATTTCAGAATATATAACTGAAGTTGCTTTGTTGATATCTTGTTACTTTATTCTTCTTCTTAACCTGACTGCTTCTGAGTCTGGAGAAGAGGGAAGAAATCCACAATTAGCCATTGACAATAGTCTAAGTAAAAACTGTAATCACTTAATTGTTTCTAATAATGTAGAGCTTTTACTCTTCATATATTACATGTATATCCCTCCTTTCCTCAACATGTTGTATGCAGTTATCCTCCTCTCCACCTGATCATCAACCCTGTAAAGTAGTTCAAGCTGAGCAAAGTACTCCAAGGTCGCTCAGTGAAGTCCATGATCAAATAAACCTTTGGACTTGGATTTACCACGTCCTAGTGCTCTAAATGGACAACACATGCAGCTTGAGAACATGGTGAAGCATTCATTCTCATTCCACCATGCTGTAATAAGCCAAAATTGTTGTATCTAAAAGGGCCCCAAGATTTAAAGACAAAACAAACATAATAGTGTTTATTTTTAATTATCTTTCAGGTTGACTCACCAATGAACTTGAAACATCCTCATGATTTAGTAATACTAATGAGACAGGAGACAACTGTTAACTACCTCAAAGAGCTGGAGGTGAGGCTGGCTTTTATGAATTGTGTTTAAAAATGTTCTAGAGAGAGCAGAGAGTGAGTATAAAACACTGATTTTCTATGTCAGACATTTGCCAATCATGCGTTCCCAATTGTTTGAATTACTGTTTACATCAGAGATGGGGAACATGTGGCCCTTCAGATGGAGTTGCTGAGCTGCACCTTCCATTAGGCCTAGCTAGCCTAATGGGTGGTGCATCATTGGTAAGAGATGATACAAACTAGTAGACACTAGATAACTGTGTGTTCCCTGTCACTGGTCCACATTAATAAAGTCTACAGTTTTTGCTATCCTATGCCACAGTAGGTGTAATAATCTAGTAAACCACATAGTAATTTCTATAAGACTAAAGAGCTTTGGGTTTCTTTTTCTTGAAGAAGAGCCCTGCCCAATTCTGAGGATATTTCTTTTGAAACTTTTGATTTTGAACTATCACAGCAAGCTAGTAATTTTAAGGGGGGGGAAGCATCGAGATTCAGGACAGAATCCAGGAGTACATATTTGAGGGAGTGTAACCCCTATTATTAATTAATATTTAATTAATGAAATGCCCATTCTCTTTGCTGCAAGCAAAGGACGTTTTACTATAAAATATATTGTGTTCTCCTAGTTGTCTAGGATGTTTTAAAGGGAAAGAATGCATTCTTCCATATAGTCTGTCTTGTCCATTAAGTTGGAAGCCATAGCACTGTATCTAGAGAAATATAAGGAAACTTCTCTAGTTCTTTTGTTCCCTGTACATGCAAACACAGTTGAAACATCTCTCTTGAAGATAGGCAGTCATTTAGAATGGTATGATATATAGTATAGCAGAAATGGTATGGCCGCTTACCAAAGATGCTTCATTATATGTGATACCCTTTGCATTACAGCTATCATTACGTGTGGATATGTGCAAGATTCACACTTCTATATTGAATAGAGATGTAAAGACATTTCTTATGTTCCCTAGCCAATTGTTTGTGAAAAGAAATATGAATGAAAATTTTGGATTGCATACTTCTAGATGTGTGACATTTTCATAGGGATATCAGTTGATAAACACTTCTAGTAATGTTTGTAGTTGAAGCATGTATTTTTATGCCTTTTTTTAAAAGAAACAATTAGTTGCTCAAAAGATCCATATAGAAGAGAATGAAGACCGAGACACAGGACTGGAGCAAAGACATAACAAGGAAGATCCTGACTGCATTAAAGCTAAGGTGCCGTTGGGGGATTTGGATCTCTATGATGGCACATACATCACCTTAGAGAGCAAAGATATCAGGTAGTAATATGAATTACAGTATACAAATTGACAATCCTTATAATTTTAGATGGGCGGAATTGATCGTTGGGGTAGTCTTTGCTCGGACAGAAGCTTTCTATGTTACTGGATGACCTTTGAATTGTAACCAGCTTGCAGTGCTGTAGGACAAAGATCCGTAGGGTGGATTTGAGTTAGCTGAATAAAAGAATTTGATCCAGTCCATTAGATTAAATCCAGTTACATTCATTGATGGAATTTCATCTACTAGAGGAGTGGATTCTTTCTCCCCTGCAGCCCCACCCCATACTCTCTCAAAACTATGGAGAAATACAGAGTTGATAAACTGAGTTAAAATAGCAAATTTTAGCATTCCTACCTACAGTATTTAGCTTTTGTTGTTAGTAGTTTGTGATCATTATCAACAAGTGCTTTAATATTTTCATTGCTTTTTGGTTTTAGTCCTGAAGACCATGTAGACACAAAATCTCCTTTACCTCCAGACCTAGAACAACCAGAATGTACAAAAATTCTAGATCTTCCATATAGCATTCATGCTTTCCAACACTTAAGGGTAAGCAACTAATTGTGTAAACTTCTGCTACTTTGCCTCTGCTCTGCCACTTTTATTGAGATGACATACATTCCGGTAATCATAACTGTTTTGTCTGTGTTACATATAGAATCTGTTAATAGAAATAAAAATTGAGTTAAGAACTGACATACTTTTCAGAGCAATCCTGTAAGCCTTTTAGCTGACCTGCATAACATTTGAGAGAATATTGTGTGGTTCAGAAACATTGTTCTAGTGCTTCATCTTTCTGGAGAAAATTTTCCATTTCTATAAATTATCATTGCTTCATAAATTTCACAGGAAACAGTGAATGGAGGCCAATACAGTGCTAGGAGACCTTAGCAGTTTCAAAGTTGTCTAAACCTTATCGTTCATGTTATTCTTGTATGTTTAAGCAAGTATTAAATCAGAACCTAGATTGTAATGTAGCTGGCTGTTGCAACATCAACGTTTTTCAGATGATAATCCCTGGGAGGTGTTTGGAGAGTAAATATGTATTTGATAGATATGTAGACAAGAAGTAAAAATCCAAGTACAAATGCAAATAGTAGCCAAATTACCTTTTGGATGTGCTGGTCCAGCCAAACACATACTGTGTAAATTTTACTTCCAACTTTATGTACTTAGATTGCACTGTGACTCTAATACGTGCCTTTAGGAAATGGCATATATCTATATTTATCTCCTTAGAGATTTGGTTAGTATGTGCAACAGTTGGTTTAAAAAGATGAAAGTTGAATACTTGCTGATATCTAGAATTCCTGTAAAGAATGCTGGACTACACTTTCTCTTCTTACTCAGCTGATGTCGAAAGTTAAGATTGATATAAATTAGTAAATTGCCAACTGTGAAGGAATCTTGAGTTTTACTATGTGACTGTAAAATACACTAGTTAATCACAGGATTTCTAGTTAAAAAGCTCAGAACATGCAAAATTCAAAACACTCTAGCCTGGTACTAGAGAACTCCACTGCTTATGTCCAGTCATTGATTCCTTTTCCTCCTTTTCTCTAGGGTATTCAAGAAAGAGTTAATCTTTCAGCACCATTGTTACCCAAAGAAGATCCGATATTGACTTATTTATCAAGACAGCTGGGAAGAAACATCGAGGAAATAGGCCATCGAATTTATGAAGGCCTTATGAAGGTATAACTGCAGCAGCCAGCTTGGTTGTGTTCCAGAAATTTCTAAGACAGATGCTGGCCATCAGGGATGTGCCATTTGGGGTGGGGAGGGTTGGACTCCAAATCCTAGAACTCCCCAAGAATTTCCCAGGCAAAATTCTGGGAGTTCCAGCCCACAAACACACATCTGCAGACACCTTCATTTCACTCACCTGGACGAAGGCTAGGGCCTCTTCAAGACCTAATACACCCTGGGAGGAAGCTGTTGCAGTGCTTCTTGGGGCTGGTAGTTCTTCCAGAGGTGCACTTCTTATAGATTTGAAACAGCAATAACATCACCAACCCTAGAAAGCATTGAAGCACCTTCTTCCTGGGAAGTATTGGGGCAGGAGGAAAGTCCTAGAAGAAGCCTAGGCCTTTCTTAAGTGAGCAAAATGAAGGTGTCTTGGAGCTTGAGTTCATGGGCTGGACCTCCTATAATTCTGCTTGAAGAACTGTTGGAAAATTCTGGCATGCAAGAAAAAAAAGAATGACAGATATCTGGTGGCCATTTGTATCCTTCCCTAGACCCACTGTTAATGCACATCTGAAATTCAGCATACTGTAATGATAGCAAAACAAAGCAGGGAGCAGTTTTCTGAGTTTCAGAGGTACAGCAGCAAACAAATACTTCAAATAAGGCACTTTTGCATTAAAACAAGGTTTAGAGAGTATTTGTTTCTCTGAAATCAGTTAGTACTCAAGGAAATCCCCCTAGGCACTAATCAGGTTCAGAACAAGGTATTTGCGCCCCTTGCGCCTTTTTTTTAATGAGGTGCCTCATTTAAAGTGGGAAATTGTACATTTTTTACATCAAGCAGTAGCAGATGCAACCCTGCTGAGCTAGGTGGACAGCTGTTCAGTTCCCCACCTCCCAAGAGTAGTTGCTTGATAGTCATCAAAATGAAGAAATTTAAAAATAGTGTTTGCTTTTTCTAGAAAGTCTGATACAGCCGAAATGTGCTTAAACATTATATTTGAGTTCCCTTTTTGTATCTGTGAATACTGTTTGTCTACTTGTTATATAGAAAAAAACAACCACAGATTATAGATGTGGTAATAGCTCATTTTTGCTGGACCTGATGTTTCAGTTTTATAGTATTAGACAGTTAAAAACTGGAGTGTATTTGAAATCTAGTTTTACTTTGTCCAATGAAAAGCTCACTTGCAGTTTGTTTTTACATTTCCTCTTCTTTTTACTCTTTGCAGAATTCTTCTTCTTGGGTATTGTATAATATGGCTTCCTTTTATTGGCGAATAAAAAATGAACCATATCAGGTTGTGGAGTGTGCCATGAGGGCTCTCCATTTTTCTACAAGGTAAGTAATACAGTGTTTTGAAAACAAAGTTGTATATTCCTTAGTTTTGGTACCCAGATATATCTGTGTGATAAGGATTTGATTCCTATGTAGATTATCCATAGGCTTATCATCCCTTATGTCTAACTTATGTTAGCTTGTTCTTATGTTAACTTATGTTATGCAGTACTTGATTAATACTGATAGGAATCAAATTGCAGTGAATGCACCTAGCCTAGTTCTGCAACCTTATACCCAGTATTTCTGTTTAGTCACCCTATTAATCTGCATGCTTTTAAATAACTTTTTGTTAGATCCTGTCAATAAAGCATAGCCTAGCAGTACGCTTGTATGAAGTCTGTGACTAAAAGAGACACTTTATATTGAGTCAGATGAGTATCTCAGCAAGCCCAGTGTTGATAGTATGACAAAAAACCAATCAGTTTTTGCAGGGGCTCAAGCTATTCTATATATAGTGGTGCCTCGCTTAGCGATCGCTCCGTTGAGCGACAAAATTGCTTAGCAACGGGGTTTTGGCCATCGCAAAAGTGATCGCTTTGCGATGGTCCCTATGGGGAAAAATCGCTTTGCCATGATTGCGGGGAAGCGATCATGGCAAAGCGACCCTTTTTAAACAGCTGATCGGCTGATCCTATGGAGGATCTTCGCATAAGATTAGTTTTGAAGCCCATAGGAACGCATTAAATGCGTTTTAATGCATTTCTAGGCTTTTAAAAATTGCTTAGCGATGAAATCGCTTAGCAATGTTTTTTCGGAAAGGGATTAACGTCGCTAAGTGAGGCACCACTGTACTTCATTACCTAAATGCAGCAGATCAAACATGGGACTGTACATTTGCGCGCAACATAGAAGTAAATATATAGTAACTTCCTAATAACTGTTGTGTTTTCTCTTTCAGGCACAATAAAGACGTTGCACTGATAAACCTGGCAAATGTGTTACACAGGGCACACTTCTCTGCTGATGCAGCCATCGTAGTCCATGCAGCTCTGGATTACAGTGATGTCTTCACAAGCTACTATACTTTAGGAAACATATATGCAGTAAATATAATATTACTCTTCATTTATCAGTTCATCTTTTCAATTATCAGTAAATGCTTTTGCAAATCAGACAGTAAGATAGAGACAAGAATGAGTTGTATTGCATTCAGTTTACAAAGCTTTTCATCTCTAAATTTTCAGTTTATTTATCCAGCCTTTGTACAGGTTGGGTGGGTAGGAATATTAAGATCTTCAAGTAATTACAACATGTCTAACAGAACTCAATTTCAAGAGTAATTGCTTAATAGTCATTAATATGAAGATGTTTGAAAATTGTGTTTGCTACAATTTAAAAGCTGCTAACAACTAGTTTCTCTTAATCTTTTTTCAGATGCTTGGGGAATACAACCACTCTGTTCTGTGTTATGATCATGCTTTACAAGCCAAACCAGGGTTTGAGCAAGCAGTTAAAAGGAAGCATGCTGTCTTATGTCAGCAAAAGCTTGAGCAGAAACTGGAGGCTCAACACCGGTAGTGTATTTATCCTCATTAAAGAAAAATTCATACCCTTGCAAGGAGTCACATCTGATGTGTGGCTACCAGTGGAGGTCTTCAACAGAATAGGGAAAGGTGTGATACTTAGCTATTATCCCTGCTTCCTGCAGCCTTCTCATTTTCTCTAAAGGATATAGGAAAAAGCATAGAACAGAAGGAATAATTGAAAATCACGCACCTCTTCATTCTGTTAATGGGAGCATTCTGTTGGTGGCAAAAAAAAAAATTGGGTTCTCCCCCTTGTTCACATATTCTTACTGGTCTAAATGAAGTTGTTTGTCCCATCTGGAAGAGACCGATTAAAAGAGAAGAAATTGTTTAAAGAACCTGTAAGTAAATTCCATTGAGAGAGTCTAGCCTAGTTAGGACTACCAGTTGGTTTTAAGCCACGTTGTTATATCCTATTTTATCTATTGTAAACCACATGAGTAGTGCCTTGGCATTAATGAAGTGGTATACAAGCTGAATAAATAAATAAATTTGTAAATAAGCTCAAAATAAAAATTAAAAAAATCTTAACATCTAACAAAAGTACAGTATTGAAGGAACTTAAAAAAACAACCACATGGTAACAAGCCATAGCATAACTGCACCTTGTTAACATAGTGTACAAAATAATAACACAATAACAGCTTTAGTAATAAAGTAAATGTAGAAAATTGACATATGTAGCACCTTTATTTTCATGTTTAATTTTTTCAAGGTCACTCCAGCGAACATTAAATGAATTGAAGGAATACCAAAAACAGCATGACCACTACTTGAGGCAGCAGGAGATCTTAGAAAAGTACAAGCTGATTCAGGAGGAGCAGATCCTGAGGAACATTATCCATGAGACACAGATGGCGAAAGAGGCACAACTAGGTATTTATGACCCTGGGAAAAAAGCATTAAAATGTACAAGCCCAAATATTATCCAGGACACTAAGTTGTATCTTGGTGATATATTTTGAATAAATTTTAACACTTTTGAGTAGAATACTTGCCAGATAAATGTTTAATATTATCACAATTCTGCATATTGATGAGTTCTTCTCCATTGCATAAAAGCAGACAAGAGTCATGTGTGCACCCCAAGGATATCCTAATCCTGGTGACGTATTCCTTTCTCTGACAATTTCTCACTGATTACAGTTAGTGTCCTCATTGTTCACTGTTCACTGTTATTAAAAGTGACAAATGCTGTCTGCATCTGAATTGCTAGTGGAGCATCCATCCTCTCCCCAAGAGACTCTTGTATGTATCATGGTTCCATTAATTGAAGGATTACCAAGGGAGGAGGGAGGTTGTCCATTTTTTACCAAGAGAGAAAAGGGTTTACTGGGCTATGTGTGTAATATACACTTGTGTGTGCACACATACCACCACTAATCCTCTGCATCATATTTGATCCTTTGGGGCCAAAAAAGTAGTGCACCTACACTCTTAGCAAAGGCAGCATTGTTAAAGGCCATTTGCAAGTCTTTCAAACTCTTTCAGGCAGTAAGCCTCAAAAGACAACTGAATGAAGGTCAGGAAACTCTGAAGCAACACCTCCTTAGCACCGAGTCACTTCCACTTGGAAAATCAGCATTATGTTTTGTAGCAGACATATAATACATAGAAGCATTGATCTGTTTGGATTCTGGTGCATACATTTATGCTTTTGAGTGCTCTGATCTACTGAAAATACATAAATGAACACAGTTTATTTCATAGTAGTCTTGAGTTTCTTGTGTTTCTTTTGATTGGCAAATACTTTTCATATACACTGGCCAGAATGGCTAAAGCATACAGTTTTAAGGATTAAGGTTTATAGATTAAGACAGAATACTAATAACTAGATGTCCAAAATATTTCTATTCTTTGAAAAACTGCAGTTATTTGAGAAGTAACACCTAAACATAATTAAAAGAAGACTAATAATCATTTCTACTTTCAGATTATTAGTTTGGAAGAATTCTGGTTTGTTATCCAGTTGGCACTAAATGCAGCCAGTGAACATTTGCATTAGTTTTTAACTTATATTTTCTGCTCATCTACTGCAGGCAACCATCAGATTTGTCGCCTGGGCAACCAGCAGCACAGTTTGCATTGCCAGTGGGACCAACCTGTCCGTTATCATCGTGGTGACCTGTTTGAAAATGTTGAATACGTTGAGGTTTGTCTGCAGCACATTAGTATGAAAGAAAGGGTGCATCTGTCCTATCCAACCCTACCCAGTTTGGACAAGAACAGACCTCAAAGTTACTTTGTTCTTGCTTGCCCAAGAATGATCACCTCCTGGGCCAAGGCAGCACCCAGCTCTTGCACCACCCAAAGAAATAGCAAATCAAAGGGAACTCAAGCCTGGGCAAAATTGACCTTGCATGGTAGACTGCTACTACCTCTATAAGGCTCTTCCATCTCAGGCTAGAGGAACCTTGAGCATGTATTGGATTTCTCTTGAGACTCTCTAGGGAACTGAGGCTTGAAATCAGGGAATCATTTTCTCTCAGAGACCCAGGCAAACACTGACATGTAGAAAGCATAATTTTCTCAAATGCTAAGACTCAGTAAACCACACAATTTGTTCGGAAAAAATTGTATTTTATTAAGGCAGTGAAGAAAAGCCATAAAAGCTGATTTGGTCTGATGGAAGCAGTGTTGGGATAAGACTCAAGAGACTTGGGTTCAAATCCTGGTTACCCATGGAAACCCGTGGGGGAGGCAGCATTTTTTATTTATTTGTTTGTTTTTATGCTGGCTTTCTCCAAGCAATGTTAAATCATTTCTTAAATATCTCCGATACTGCAAAAACCTTATTAAGGTCACCATAGATCAACAACAACTTGATGGCAAATGTTTGTTCTGCGCCATCAAGTCAGAACCAACTTATAGAGACCCTAATAGGAGTGTCAAGGTAAGTGAGATATTTAAGGAGTGATTTTACCAAACACCATATGGTCTTTGTGTCAGCAACACGTTCTTTAATATGAAGCTTCAACCCAGTTTCCTGGAGACATCCAAGATCCAAGCATTGGCATCAGCTTGATTTGATCCTCGCTAGACATTCTAGCCTTCCTAGTATTACAATCCCACCAGTTACCAGAGTGCTGATTGCGATACTGATCCCTCGCTGGTGTGTAGTAGAGTAAAACTGTGAACAAAGAGATTGTACCACATGAAAAAGGAAGGAAGACCACGTATTGACATCAGCAAGACTCGCGATCAAAGAAAAGTGGAGGAATTTCACCGAGCGTTTTAGGAAAGCTTTCCAGGCCCGGCTGATGCAAATGCACCTGAACGATGGGAACACTTCAAGAATGCTGTTTATAACACCGCCTTGTCCATATTTGGCAAGAAGACCAAAAATACGGCAGACTGGTTCGAAGCCCATTCAGAGGAGCTGATACCAGCCATCGAGGATAAGAGGAGGGCTCTAGCAGCATACAAGGCCTGTCCTAGTGAGTACAACTTGAAGGCTCTTCGAGCTGCTCATAGCCAAGTCCAACAGGCCAACAGGAGATGTTCCAATGATTATTGGCTTCAGCTTTGCTCTCAGATACAGATAGCAGCGGACACAGGTAACATCAAGGGAATGTATGACATTATCAAGCAGGCTTTAGGTCCAATACAGAAGAAATCTGCTCCCCTGAAATCTGCTACAGGTGCAATCATCCAGGACCGAGCACAGTAGATAGACCACTGGGTGCAGCACTACTTTGAGCTATACAGTGGGGTCTTGACTTGAGAACTTAATCCGTATTGGAAGGCGGTTCTCAAGTCAAAAAGTCTGTAGGTCAAGTCTCCATTGACCTACAGTGCATTGAAAACCGATTAATCCCGTAACAGGCCGTTTTTGTTCCATTTTGGTTTTTTTCTGGTCTGTAAGTCAATTCTCAGGCTGCAAGTCAAACCTAAATTTTGCGGCCAGAGAAGTCTGTAACTCAAAAAGTCTGTAAGTCAAGCCGTCTGTAAGTCAAGGGTCCACTGTATTCCAGAGAGAATGTAGTAACCGAAGAAGTTCTGAATTACATCGAGTGCCTGCCTGTCTTGGAAGAGTTGGACAGCGAGCCAACTTCAGCAGAAATAAAAGCGGCCTTGGATTCCCTTGCCTCCGGCAAGGCACCTGGAAAGGATAACATCCCTGTTGAAGTGCTGCAAAGAGTTCATTAGCACCGAACTGTATAAGTCTTTCATCTTTGCTGGAGGGTAGGTGGAGTACCACAGGACATGAAGGATGCAAACATTATCACATTGTATGAGAATAAAGGAGATGGGGCGACTGCAATAACTACTGTGGCATCTCTTCTCAGCGTTGTAGGGAAGCTGCTTGCCCATGCTGCACTAAAGAGACTCCAGGTGCTTGTAGACAGAGTCTATCCAGAATCACACTGTGGATTCCGAGCTAACAGATCCACCACTGACATGGTATTCTCCCTCAGACAGTTGCAGGAGAAATATAGGGAAGAACAACAGCCACTCTTTGTGGCCTTCATAGATCTCACAAAGGCCTTTGATCTGGTTAGCAGGGATGGCCTTTTTAAAATACTTTCCAAGATTGGAAGTCCACCTCGACTCCTCAACATCATCAGGTCCTTTCATGAGGGAATGAAGGGCACCATAGTTTTTGATGGCTCAACATCAGATCCCTTTGACATCCGAAGCAGAGTGAAACAGGGCTGTCTTCTTACGCTGACCCTGTTTGGGATCTTGAGGAAAAAGTGTCCATATCTACTCATGTAGGTCTGAGGTTCAAGTAACTGGCACGTACTACAGCTTAAAATTATTAATACTTGAGCAATTGATATTCATGCAAGTTTCATTTGGCAAGGAATTTTCCCATGCTTCCCAATGTATTGGAACTATCCCATAGGCATGAAATGCTATAGGACCAAAATGTATGCAGATGACACCTGCTATACAGATATTTACTTACTTACTTACTTACTTACTTACTTACTTACTTACTTACTTATTTATTTATTTATTACATTTATACCCCGCCTATCTGGTCATATTGGATATATATTTTCCAAACTCAGAAGGGAAAGGAAATGTGCTCATGAAGTTTTCAATTTTTTAAAATTTATTTGTTTGTTTATTTGCTTCCTCCTACTTTCTTTCGTAGCCCAAGAGCTATGAAGATTTTCCTTCTCTGGCACACAGAAAATCTATTGTAGCCCATTATTCTTCTTTGTGGCCTCTGTGAATGCACACGATAGGGTTAAGTCCGCGCCTGCGCCGGGCTTCTCGGAATATTCTAGAGCTAAGGAAAAAATTGAATAATTAAGTGTTACCCCTACAGCACATGCTCCACCCGCTCGTAGCCTCAGTTCTATTTTACCGCCTTCGCGTACGGAATTTCTCGTGCTAGAGCTTTTATATTTCAACCTTTTCGGTGTTTTCGGTTTGACTTTGGCTTTCCAAACAACTATTCTATCTGTTGCCCCTTTACTGGATTATATTGCTTGTGCCTGACCTCAGACTGTCCCTTTGACTACGTTTTTGGCTTTTTCCCGCTTTCGGATTTGACCTCAGACTGTTTCTCGATTCTCCACTGGTCTGCTACCGTGAGTTTTTCCTCCTGGGCTCCCTGATTTATGTCCCCCTCAGGCCCCTTTAGAAAGTGCACCTCGTGTAATCGCAAACTGCCGTTTTCGAACGGACACAAGAGTTGTGTGTTTTGTCTGGGGCATTTAACGCAGTCTTGCAAAGAGTGCAAGAAATTCACGCGGGTGGCTCTAAGAGCCAGGCAACAGAGACCCAAACTTTTTCTCTGGGACGCCACCCTTTCAGCCTCCCAGCCTACCGCCATGGAGGTATCTCCATCCCATTCAACTGTGTCCAGGGCAGATAATTCTACCAACCCCTTCCCCCCCCACCTCCTAAGCCGGGAAGACCTGCAAAAAAATCGTTGTCGACGACGTCTAAAGCAGCCTTACCACCAACTGATCCGTCTAGCAATCCCGCTCAGGGCACATCTAAAGAGGCTCCTGCCGGCAAACCATCCTCCAAGTCAGCTAAATCTACCAAGGAGCCTGCAAAGAAAGAGAAAGTGCCATTAAAACCCAGGAAGGACAAGGCGCATAAGGGGGATGATCATTGCTGCCCGGTCACTACCATCCCTAATTCACCCCCTCCCCCATTCTGAAGGAGGGTGAGGACCCGTACGAGTCTTGTCTTGACTACGGGGATTCTCTCCCACCCCGACAGCTACCGGCAACGGTGGGAACGCAAAGCCGTTCGCCCAGCCCTCACCCGCTAGATGCAATACCAATATCTAGCGCTGGTTCTGCCCTACAAAGACCTGTTTCCACTGGGTGGGCGTCTTCCGTGGTCTCCCATTCTCCAAGCCCGATTTCTCCACCCCGTAAGAGAACAGCAAAGATGAAGCATATTTCTCCGTCTCGGGCCTGGCGCCCCCACCGGGAGATACTCATTCTGCCTCGGCCTTCTTGACGCTGAGACAGAGCTTCCCGGGAAGACTCTTATGTTATTGACCTTGACCGCCATCATCGGCACCTAGGAAAGGACAGTGATTCTGATTCCTTTTCCGATGATGGAGCCTACCACTCCCACAAGAGGGTGCGCTATGTTTATGCTTCCACCTCTTCACCATCTCCTTCCCCCCCAAGACATCGGGGCCGGGGAGCATCCTGAGCCCGAAAGCACGCAGATGGACCAAGGCCAGATCATCATAAGCCCAAGCCCAGTCATGATCACAGGGCCAAACCTTCCATTCCATCCGACGCCGTGGGCAGGCAGTCTACCAAGCCCAGTCATGATCACAGGGCCAAACCTTCCATTCCATCCGACGCCGTGGGCAGGCAGTCTACAACTGATAGTGTCGACCGGTTTCACGGGCAAACTCAGGACTCATGGGAAGAGACTACGCTCCCCACCTCCGCCGTTTTTACCGGAGGAAATGGGATCCTCAGTGGGTTTGACAGCACCTCTGGTCACCTCTCTTGAGGAATCGGATAATGAGTCAATTTCAGGGGCCCCCTCAGAGTTGGGCACTTCAGACATCCATGCCCCTGCATCTGCCGAAGACTTTTCTTCGTATGTGCAGATGGTGTCTCGCATAGCAAAGGCCCTCAAACTTGATATTGAAAAGACTCCCCCTTCTGCAGAGGATCTTGTGTTTGGAATTGATGATAAAGGCAAAGCACCCCCACTCAGCATCGCCCTCGTTCCTTCCTTGCTAGCTACGATTAAAGAGTCTTGGTCCACCCTGGCCACCTCTACGCAGGTCACTCGTAGAGTTGAGAACTATTACAAAACACATGGTGAGGATGCGGCTTTCCTAACTAAGCATCCGGTGCCTAACTCGATCATCGTCCAGTCTAACCAATCTAAGGCATCTTCAAAGGCTCAGCTCACCCCTTCCAATAGGGAAGGTAGGAAGCTAGACGTCCTTGGCAGGAAGATGTACTCCTTCACCACCTTTCTTATCAGGGTGGCAAACTACCAGGCAGCTATGGCTGCCTATCAACACCAGCTCTGGGAGAGAGTGCTACCCGCCCTTCAAGAGATGCCAGAGGACTTAAGAGCTCTCCTGCTCAACACCTTTGAGGAGGCAACTAATGTAGCTAAGCTTCAACTGCTAGCCTCACGTCACTCTGCTGATATTGCGTATAAGACTGTGACATCTTCCATAATACTGCGTCGCCATGCTTGGCTTCGGTCCTCAGGCATCAACGAGGATGCCAAGAACCGTATTGAGGCTCTTCCCTTTGACGCCACTGGAGTCTTTAATGACAAGACTGATGAGTCAATGGAAAGCTTCCACAAAATGAAAAAGACGGCAAAATCCTACACTATACACCAGCAGCCAAAATTTCAATCTAATGGTGTAAACCATACAGCACGCAACATTACCTACCCTCTACATCTCAAACTTACCGGTCGTTCAAACAGCAGTCTCAATCTCGACTCCTTCATTCTTCCTCCGGGGCTCTTCCCTTCCGCTCTCAAACCCAGGGTCAGAGGCGTCAGTCCTATCGCCCTCCTGCCAAGAAAACAAGACATTATCTTTGACTCCACGACCACACTGGCGCATTATCCAACCCCCCACATCCATCTAGCGCCGTTTCTTCATAACTGGTCTGCTATCACAACTGACAAATGGGTTCTCGACATCATCCAGTTCGGGTATTGCCTAGAGTTCTCAGAACTTCCCCCGTTGGGACACATCAAACATACAGCCTTCAATCTAGCTGTACAAACAGAAATTTACAATCTGCTTCAAAAACATGCTGTGGAACTGGTCCCCCCCGAACAGGCCGCCAACGGATTCTTCTCCAGGTACTTCGCTGTCCCCAAAAAAGACGGGGGCATTCGTCCTATTTTGGACCTCCAGACAATAAACCGTTATCTACTCACAAGAAAATTCCGCATGGTGACAATAGAAACCATACTCCATCTGCTTTGTCGGGGCGACTGGTTCACCATCATAGACCTCCAAGACGCCTATTTTCATATTTCTATTCATCCTCATCATCGCAAGTATCTGCGTTTTTGTTTTCTAGACACTGTTTATCAGTTCTGCGCCCTCCCCTTCGGTTTGTCTACCACCCCTCACACATTTACAAAGTGCATGGCCCCCGTTGCCGCATATCTTCGCATAAATGTCTACCCATACATAGACGACTGGCTAATCGTGGCGGACTCTCCAGAAAACGCAGCTCACAGCACCGCATTCATCCTGGAAACCCTCAGACTTCAAGTAAATATGTCAAAGTCCCGCCTCCAGCCCTCTCAGGTCATGGAATACATAGGCACCTCAATCAATTCCATCTCAGCATGTATCACCCTACCCCCTCAGCGCATATCCAAGATCCGACAAGCAGTCCACCGGTTCTGACCTCACAGGACAGTATCAGCCCACCATGTCCAACACCTCCTCGGCCTTATGGCCTCTACCACCGCGGCGTTTCAACACGCACGACTAAAAATGAGATCATTGCAGACATGGTTTCTGACATTGTTCAACCCACTAATGGACGATCCGAACAAACGCCTCAGGGTGACACCAGAACTCTGGCAACAACTACAATGGTGGACTTTTGCTCCTCATCTCCTTGTCGGTCGCCCATTCCGACCACTCCAGCTCACAGCCCAAGTGACAACAGACGCCAGCCCTATAGGCTGGGGTGCCCATTGTGGCGATCACAACATTCATGCCCTCTGGTCACGCAGGGAACAACAACTTCACATCAATCAACTAGAAATGTGGGCAGTCATAAAAGCTGTTCGAGCGTTTCTACCACTTCTGCACGGGCAAGCCATCCAAGTGGTTACGGACAATACGACCACAATGCATTATATAAACAAGCAAGGAGGCACCCGCTCCCTTCAACTTCTTTACCTAGCAGTTCTTATGTGGGAATACTGCTACACCAATCACATATTCCCAGTGGTGGTCCACGTACCGACTGCCGACAACCAGTTGGCGGATACACTCAGCCATTTGACCACACAGGCCCACGAATGGGAACTGGATCCATCGGTCTTCCTTCGGATCTGCCAAAGGTGGAGGACCCACACATAAATATGTTTGCAACCGACAGCAACAAAAAAATGCACCAGGTACTGCTCCAGGGCAGGTCGCGGCCGCGACTCCCTAGGGGATGCATTAATGGTCCCGTGAAACGAGACATTTCTCTACATGTTTCCTCCTCTCTTTCTTGTTCAAAGAACTATATTCCGCATTCGCCAGACCTCAGCAAATGGCATTCTCATAGCACCCTTTTGGCCACGCCAGGCGTGGTTTTCCACGCTAAGAACCACGGCGACCGATCACTTCGAGCTCCCATGCATCCCGCAACTTCTCACACAAAACAGCGGCAACCTTCACCATCTGGATGTCCAGTCTCTCCATCTGGCAGCGTGGAGGATTCTCCCATGATTATAAACGTGCCAGAGAAGGCTAGAAAACCTTCCACTAACATTCTGTATACTTGCAAGTGGAAAAGGTCCTGCAAGTACGCTTCATCCAAAGGCTTCCAACCTTCTCCAGTCTCCTTATCGGATCTCCTCCACTACCTCAAACACCTGTTCGACCTCGGTTTATCTGTCTCCACTCTTAAAGTCTACATATCGGCCATTGTGGCACACCAACCACACAATTCCGATGCAGCGAAGTCCTTATCACATCCCACGCTGAAACACTTTCTGAAGGGCCTATCCAACCTCTGCCCTACGGTCAGATCACCTCTGCCTCAGTGGTCTCTACACCTTGTCCTTCATGCTTTGACACAGCCGCCCTTCGAGCCACTGCCATCTTCGGACCTTCGACTTTTATCCTTTAAGATCCTCTTCTTGTTAGCCATCACAGCTAGACGAGCTAGTGAGTTGGCCACACTCAGGGCTGACCCCCCTTATCTTCAATTCTTTTTGGACAAAGTGGTTCTTTACCTGGACACTTCCTTCCTACCCAAGGTGACATCCACGTTTCACCTAAACCAACCATTGGTTTTACCTTCACTTTTCCCCAGCCCGTCCTCTCCAGCTGAGCGATTACTCCACAGCCTTGATGTACGTCGGGCATTGGCGTTTTATATCTCACGGACTAAAGACTTCCGTCTCTCCAACAACCTCTTTGTCTGTTTTCACAGACAATGCAAGGGCCGCACAGCCTGGTCTCAAACTTTGTCACGGTGGCTGGTTTCCACCATTACTCTTGCTTATGAGATGGCAGGCAAAACTCCTCCTACTGGTATCAAGGACCACTCCACACAAGCAATGTCAACTTCTACAACTCTGTTGAGACGAGTGAACCTAGTGGACATCTGCAAAGCTGCTACATGGTACAGAGCCTCCACTTTCATAAGACATTACAGACTGGACCTTCGAGCAAAAAGGGAGGCCAGTTTTGGGAGAGCTGTCCTAACGTCTCTGCTTCAGTGATGTCCCTCCTCCGGTAAGATGGCTTGCTAGTCACCCTATCGTGTGCATTCACAGAGGTCACAAAGAAGAACAGGAGGTTACCTACCTGTAACCATAGTTCTTTGAGTGGACCTCTGTGAAGTCGCACTTCCTGCCCAGCCTCCCCTCTGTCCGTCACTGCTTAATTGGCTCTATGGTTTTGGGAGCTTACCACTGGCAGATAAAATGGAACTGAGGCTATGGGTGGGCGGAGCATGCGCTGTAGGGGTAACACTTAATTATTCAATTATTTTCCTAAGCTCTAGAATATTCTGAGAAGCCCGGCGCAGGCGCGGACTTAACCCTATCGTGTGAATTCACAGAGGTCCACTCAAAGAACTATGATTACAGGTAGATAACCTCCTCTTCTTTCACTTGTTCATCTCTTTCATTTTTCATATCTTACCTTATACAGTGGTGCCCCGCATAGCGAGCGCCTCGGTTAATGACGAATCTGCATAGCGACGCGTTTTTTGCGATCGCAAAAGCGATCACATTGCGATGTTCTCAATGGCTAAAAATTGCTTTGTGATGATCGGTAAGCGTTTCACTTACTGATTTTCGCATAGCGATGTTTTGGGAATAGCTGATCGGCGGTTCCAAAATGGCCGCCAGAAAAAATGGCCACGGCAGCATTTTCGCGCCCTTTACTCGCTTACCGGGCAGCAAAAATGGCGGCTGCATGGAGGATTTCCGCATAGCGGTGAGTTTACAGCCCATAGGAACGCATTAAACATGTTTTAATGTGTTCCTATGGGGTGTTTTGCCCCGCATAGCAACGAATCCAGATAGCAACATTTTTTGGAACGGATTATCGTCGCTATGCGAGGCACCACTGTATAGTAAAACATTCGATTTTCTTGTATTTCTTCAGTCCAAATGAGAGCCTCTTCAACTAAAACACTCGATTTTCTTGTATTTTTCTTTTTCCTTCTTTCTCTTCTTCTACTCCCTTGGCACTTCCTGAAAATCCTTTTTTCTGGGGGTTCTCTGGGACTGTGTAGCTTGCCAGAGACCACACAGTTTGGCTCTTCTCACAGGAAGGAGCAATGGAGAATGATCCCCTGATCCGTAGCTCTTATGACTCCAAATCATTGAGTCTTTCCATTATATCCATTTTTAAATACCAAAATGAAACCAAATCAAGCTATAAGTTAATTCTTTTACTGTGCTTTGAAGCACATTTCTTCAGTCCAAATGAGAGCCTCTTCACCCTATTTCTTTGAGCAGAGCAACCACTACCACTCCAGAAGTCACATCTGTCCTTTGTTGAGCATCCCTTCCACCTTGCTTAAATCTTACACTAATCTTTGCCCCTACAGTCTTCAGAAAAAAAAACATAGCTAGTATTATTTTGTACTACTTTTCATCTGCTGCTTCATAGTTGTTTAGGAGAAGATTCATTTGTCACATAAAGCAAAGAGGACAGTAGGTAACTTTTTCCTAGTTCCAAAATCCTCCAACCTGCAAATGATTCAAGGTAAATAACTTGTTCAGACCAATTGGATATCCCAGAATATGTGCAGTCGTAAAGGACAGAGCTTTTGTTTTCAATATCTATAAAACCTGAGGCACATTTTCAAAAAAATTGAATTGCTGAAAAAGGTATCTCTGAAGCTTACGCATTCTAATATAGAAGGAAAATGTCATTTGATTACCTATTTGAAACTTTACCTATCTTAAATGTTCTTTTTAATGTTTTAGCATTTTGCTAGTGTCTCAGAAGATATTTGGAAGCAGAGAAAAATTTGATGAAATATTTGTGTTTCTAAATAGACTGTGGTGGTGGGAGTTGTTATTTTTTCATCTATTTATTTTCAGTAATATTTTTCTGTTTCAAGTTGTTTTCTCCTAGTGAAAAATTCCATGCTTCTTATTTTTCCTTCTCTTTATAGTTTGGTGGTGACTCTTCAATTTCTGGCATGACATCCATGAATTCTGAACTTCATACCAACCACAGTGACCTCAGCAACACCATGGAGTCTTCCCCTTTGGTTCATTCCGTCTTCTCATTATGGGGCCTGAACTCTGATGCCTATAGGGTAAATGATAAGATGGATGTTTCCCTGTCCTTCACATGTACACTACTATTAAATAATTCTGCTGTCTTAAAGCACAAGTACATGACTGATAACCTGTGCTGGAACAAAAATGGGGAACAATAGTGAGGCAAGATTCTCTGCCTGTTCAGATAAATAACATTTGAGGCATGTTCCTCTGCTCATTGTTTTTGATGGGACCCTGGCTCTGCTTTATCAGATGAACCATAGAATCAGTAGTCAGCTGGTGTATGCATGTTCTGGATGAAAGTGGCCAAATTTATTGCTCTACTCCTGATCCATATGAGGAAGAGGAAAGAGAAATGAAGCACTCTCACCCACCATTTGCAGGTGCTAGCTAAGAGCAGTATGCAAGGGAATTGTTACTGTTATCCCCAGTCTCTGACTAAAAATGACACCAGGAGTTCTATTGCCTCTCCTTCCCATTATGTTACAGTATCTTATGGGAGAAGCAACTTAGGAGCCACCACAAGTCAGATTTTGATATATATTTATATATCAAAAGTGTATATCTATACATACTCTCCATCCCTCCCTCTCTCTAGTACTAATAAATATTGGACTCTAGATCAGCGGTCCCCAACCTTTTTCGGTCTGCGGACCGGCTAGGGAAGGTGGGGCGCACACACACGCGCTCATGCGCAGATGGCGATGTGGCACTCGCATGGGCGTGCTGGAGTGCACACGTAGGCGCAAATAGGTTGTGCGGGGGGTGGGGTGGGGCGCGAGGTCTGTCTAAGAGGCCCGTTCCGGCTCCGGCACAGACCGGCACCGGGCCATGGACCCGGGGTTGGGACCTCTGCTCTAGATATCCCAGATGGCAAGGATGTGATTCTTAGCTAGGTATTTTTAGCTTTCTTTCTTTCTCCTTGCTTGAACCTTCAGACCAAGGTGATGATTGCAAAACCTAGCACAGAGTACAAAATTGCATAACACCCACTTAATATTTTTGATGTGTTGGCCTGCTAAAACTGCAAATTAAGCTTGATAAACTAGAAATAACTGTTGAAATAAAGTAGAATTATCTATAAGTTCTCACTTTATTTTTTTCATGTGGTGAAGAGTATGCCAGCAACAAATAAATCTGGAGTGATGATTAACGAAACCCCTTCATAATAATTTAAATAAACTGTTTTCTCTGTAATTAGGATAAGCAGAGCATTATGTGGCCAAAAAGATCTGATTGTGTCAAATCCTATCCAGTAATCCCTTCCCCAGAAGAACTACCAACCTATTTCTTGCATCCAGAAAACAAGGGACAGATGTAAGTGCTAATAATATATGTCTTTACATTGTTTTTTATTATTATTATTTTGTGCTTTTAATGCTTGTTTATGTTAGATTTTAAATACTGTTTTTAGGATTGATTTACTTCTACTCGCGTACAACTTGATCAGCTATAAAGTATGTATATGTGTGTGTGTGTGTATTTATAGGACTTCTAAACTGTTGAATGACTTATTAAAAAGTACATATAATAATGAAAGTACAATAATGAATACAGTAGGACTGTCGTATCCATGGGCAATTGGTTCCAAGCCCTCCCCCTATGGATGATGAAAAATGTGAAAGTATAGAACACTATACATTGCATGTTCTCTAGCTCCCCCTAGACATCAGTTCTGTTAAATATATACTGGAAATATGTATAAATACAGTATGTATTTCTGAGTTTTTTATTTAAGCTTTTCAGGCAGTAAATAAATGAATCAGCAGATACTGATCTCACACTTGTGGGGTTCCTACTGTAAGAAACAAATTATGTTCGTTGTTAAAACACAGGGTAATCACCACTGGGAAAAAGTGATGAAAATTAATATGCCTTGTATGTTTATAGCAGTTTTAGCCCTTCTAATATGTAGAATTCTCTGGCATGTAATACAATACATTAAAAATATAAAGTGCATCCAAAAAGAATTAAGTAGAAATAGCACATAATAAAATCAAGATAGAACCATCAGTACAAAGCAGCAGTACTTGCTTTGGAAAACAAAAAGGTCTTCTCTGGCTCTAGAAGCCCCCTGACATGGTCTCCAGGCAGTCCTCTGGCAGAAAGCACTCCACAAACAAAGCACCACTGTGAGAAAGATCCTCTCCTTTGCATCCAATCCCTTTGCTTAGATTGGCACGGCCACCTGGAGGTCTGATGATGATTTTAGGCTATAGATAAGCAGCTTTACCAGTTAAAAAGCTGTTACAGTAGGTTCAGTGGAACTTCTCAGTAAACACTGAAATCATTGGCCTGTACAAGTTTCTTTTTCTATTTACTTTTTCTGTTTACTTTCTGTGATATGGCATAATAGTGAGAACCATATCAAATCAGGTATTTCTGTATGGCCAATAAGCAAGAAGTTTTGTAGGTTTTAGTTGTACTCTGTGGAGTTGTTTCAAGTTAATAATGTCACCTCAATCTTGTGGTTATATTTGTGTATTGATTTTTAGGATCCATTCAGTAAGCAGTCCAAGGGAGATCCATGCCCAAACAGATGTCTATGAACCAGATTGTTCTTCCATTACTGAGCCCTATAACGGTGACACTACATACTCGTTAATCAAAGAGTTAGACAGTCATCTAGATCTGAGAGTGAAGATGCCAGATGATCATGCAAAAGACGTAAGAAATTGTGTGTGTGCATGTATTGTTCAGTTTTCATATTCTCACCATCTTCTCCCTTTGTAAATGTCTGGTCCTTTGAGAAAGATAAACCTTTCATGGATATTTGTTTCAGTTCATACTCCAGCTCACAAAAAAGCAGAAAAGACAAGAACATTATTTTGTAAAAGGAAAGTACCATATTTTTTCGTGTAAAAGATAATACTTTTCCCTAAAATCATTAGAGGAAAAATTGAGGGTCATATTTTACACGGAAGTAAGCCGAGGAGAAAACCGTGTGGTTACAAAACTGCCTACCCTATGTTCCCCAGTGGGTCTGGAGACACCTCCATGCCCGGAATTCTCCCTTCTGCTTCTGCCGTGGAACTACCACCGTGGCGGACCAGGATCTGAAGCAGCTGGTGCTGGCTGCGGCAAGCTGGCCATGTTCCTCCTCGACTAGAACTGGATCCGGAGTGGGCACCTCCATGCCCAGGATTCTCCCCTCTGCTTTCGCTTCTGCTGCCACCACCCACTGGGTTGGTGTTTTGTTTTTGCTTTATTTTTTTGTTTTTTTCCAATTTGGGCACTCAAGCTCAGCCATCTCTGGTGTAGGCAGTGCGATCACTGAGGCCATAAATATGTCAGAAAATAAAAAAATTTAAAAAGTGAATGTCTTACTCTGCAAAATTCAAACTGAATGTAATCAGTTATGCAAACAAGCATGGAAATAAGGCTGCAGAGAGACAGTTTGGACCTCCTCCCACTGAGTGTATGATCAGACAGTGGAGAAAACAGGAAGAACAACTCCTTAAGATGCCAAAAAAGAAATGGCCTTTTGAGGAAAATTAGCAAAATGGCCAAACTTGGAGTAGAGGCTCAAGACTTGGATTTTGGAGCAGCGCCAGTGGGATATGTGTATCAACCAAGCTTATTCAACATCAGGCAAGAATGCTTGCAAGTGAAATGAAGATTGTTGATTTTACAGGAAAGGCAAAATGGTGCTTCAGTTTTATGAGGAGAGAAGGGTTGGCCATGAGCGCACAAACAAGGTTAGCACAGAAAATGCCACCTGTTTATGAGGATAAAATCCAATAGTTTCACTGCTATGTCATACAAATATGATTTTGAACCAAGTCAGATTGCAAACATGGGTAGGATGCCTCTCAATTTTGATGGCCCAAACCTTTGCAAACCAAATGAAGACATCATGGCCATTTGGTTTGCAAAAGTTTGGTCCGGAAGACCTGGTGAGCTCTTAAAGAAGTCATTTCTACTTGTCTTTAATCAGTTCCGAGCACATTTAAGGGAAAAGACAAAAAAGAGTTGCATCGGATTTGAGAACACATCTACCAGTTATTCCTGGTGGACTTACAGGTCAGCTACAACCACTAGATGTTTCAATCAACAAGCCATTTAAAGTCCTGATGAGAGAAGAATGGAATAGATTGATTCAAAAAGCAGATGGTAACTTGACACCAACCATTACTGAGGTTAGCAATTGGGTTCTGAACTCATGGTATGGCATCAAAAAAGAGGTGATTGCGAAGTCCTTGAAGAAAATGTGGAATCAGGAATACCATGGACGGAACTGAGGATGATTTCATATATATAGACAGTGACTCAGTAGACAGCGATGATGCAATAGAAGTTGAAGAAACTTATGTTTGAAACTACTAATAGTGATAAAGAAGAAAGCAGTGATGCAGTAGAGGCTGAATGAAGTGATTTGCTCAGCTAAGGGTGATGCATAATAGCATAGTACTGGCTTGTAAATGTTGTCTAATTACTAAATAAAAATGTGTTCCCTTCTAAGAATATTACCGTATTTTTCGCTCTATAAGACGCACCTTTCCATAAGACGCACCGATTTTTTAGGAGAAGAAAACAGGAAAATATAATCTGTTTTCTTCGCTCCATAAGATGCACAGACTTTCCACCCCCCTGTTTTGTGGGAAAAAAGTGAGTCTTATGGTGCAAAAAATACAGTAATTTCTAGATGTTTGGCTTAGAAAATTGAAGGGAGTCTTATACATGGGGATGTCTCATAACTGGAAAAATATGGTAGTTTAATCCATTATTCTGCACCAGACAGGTTGTCACTGTGACTGCTCCATTCATAATTGTTATTTGTTGTATACTAGGTTAAAATATAGGAAAATACTCTGCTTTATAAAAGTACAAAAGATGAAATAAAACAAAGGTTTGTTGGCTGCTTCAGATTGGTAAAAGAATAGCATAAAATATGAAAAAAAAATCTGACTAAATGCCTCTAAAATGTCTTAAAATTCCCTTAGACAATAACTTTTTTTTGGTGGGGAGATTAGAAATACTCCTTGTACCAAAACTGAAACTACTTATGTTACCTTTCAAATGTATCTTGATGTATCTTGATATAGTCTAATTTTCCTCAAAGTAAGTCATTATAGGTAACCATATTAGTTGTAATTAATTCTTGTAAGGTCTGTTATTATGAAGCTCGTTTTGTTCACTCCATTGAGATATATGGCAATTCACAGCTAAAAGTTACACTTTTGTGTAACCACATGACAGGATTTCAGTCTCTGAATCAGTAGAATTTTACACTGTTATAAAATTTAGCCATAACTTGCACATTATAAAAAAAAATGACACCCCCCATGTGTTTACATTTTGTGAGGAGAATCTAGCAATACTTTAGAATTCAGTGGTATGCCATCTCACATACAATTTAATTTATGTGCTTTTCTCTTTTGTACAGATTTTATACTCTCGTGTGAACAATCAATCAGTTACACAACAGCAAATAGGATCATTCATCCATTACGCCATTGTAAAGGTGAGTCCAGTTCTAGTGGCTGCAGTTTGTGGTTTTTAATATTTTATTCACTTCATGCTACATTAAATTTATGTCAGAGTTTCAGAGCGCTATCTTCTGAAGAAGTATGTTTAATAAATCAGAGTTCTACAACTTAACTGTACAGTAAATGTATTCCAATTCACTCTCTTTATTTGGTTTCAAGTTTGATGTATGTTAACAGCCTGCACATATGACAATGATTGATTGACATAAGATAAAATAAGGAGTATTTGCATACAAAGAATACAATACAGTTGACTTCATTCTGCTTAAAATAGTCAGAAACTGAATCTGTTTCAAACTAATCTGGAAAAAAATTGAAAACATCAAGTGCCTTTTATCAATATTTCCAATTAACTCATAGTGGGCAGCATTGGATTGACAAATTTTGAAGTCAGTAGGAGGGAGATTACAAATCAATATTCTTAAACAGTGGATGTGTTTGAATGCCTTGACCTGCATTTTCAGCAGCTAAAGCAATCCAACAGAACTTCTGTAAAATGTTGTTGCAATGATGCTATTAGTATTAGTGTCTTAGTTTGTTTTAAGATCAGTGAGGGAATACCTCTTCTCCATCCCACCACTTTCAGTCACAGTTGGTGAGCACTAGAGGGCTTTTTGAGTGTCTGCTCCCAGAATATACCATTTCCCTGAAAATAAGACCTAACCTGAAAATAAGCCCTAGTATGATTTTTCAGGATGTTCATGCTATAAGCCCTATCCCAGAAATAAGCTCCAGTTAAGTGAAACCCTGCCCTCCACCATTTTGCAGCAACCGGAAGATGACATGACTGTGTTTGAATAAATGTAGATTGTTGTACTTGGAAAAAAATTCCCGTGAAAATAAGCCCTAGTGTGTTTTTTTGGATCAAAGATGAATGTAAGACCCTGTCCTATTTTCGGGGAAACACAGTAGAACTCCCTTCTTCAGGAGGTTCAGCTGGCTCCTTCTTTCCTTCCACCAGCAGTTGAAATCATACATCTTCCGAGAAGCTTTTAGGGAGCCAAGAGGCAATTGAAATTGGGAGGTTTAAGAGAAGTTTTGCGCACATCAGCTTTTTTTTTTTGTTTTGTTTTATAGTTTTTAAATAGTGTTTTTTAAATATTTGGGAGCTATTTGTCCTGAAAAATAGTGGTGTCGTGGTTAGGAAAATTTGCCACTTACAATGGCACTGCAGACTACAGTCAAGTGTAAATTAATTAAGAGTAATTAATGTATTTTACAAAGGAAATAATTGCAAGATGCACACAATACATACATAGTCTCTGTAGTATCCATGCCAAGTTTTTAGAAGTCTAGACATCACATTCGTGGAGCTGTGGTGCAGTCAGACACATGTGTTCTCTTTTATAACTAAAGGCCTTAGTTGTTAGTCCCAACAATAGTAGACCTGTTGAGTTAGTGGAACTTCCTTAAGTATTCATTTGCTAAATCCCCATTTATTCAGAAAGTCTACTCAAATTAAGACTAACAATTGGATTTAGACTATATATTGGAATAATTAGGGCTGGGTCAGTTCATCTGTTTGATTTATATCCTGATCCATCAGTTGCAACAGTTTTCTTGCTGCTAGAATTAAGGTAAAATTCACATAATTATTATCTCAATTGACCACTGCATGTGGGATAACCTTTTCCTTTTTTCCTTTAATTTAAGGCAAGGGATCCCTTATGGCTTCTACTCAATGAGGCTGGTCTTTACTGGCGTGCATTTGGAAATGGCACCTTTGCCCTTACTTGCTTACGAAAGGCATTTAACTTGACCCCACATGAATTCAAAGATATTCCTTTAGTCAATCTAGCAAACCTTCTGATTCATTATGGCCTTCACCTGGATGCCAGCAAACTTCTGCGAAAAGCTTTAACTATCAGTGACTCTGAGGTGAGTGTAGTTGCTTTGAGATGTTTCAGAATGAATAAAACAGAAGTCCCCCACCCTCATCTGTTCTTTCTTACACAATTTCAGTGTCAAATGTGATTGACTTGTTTCAGTTCAACTTTGGGAAGCTGGGGTTTTTGTTTTGTTTCCACCTTAACTCGCAGGATGTGGGAGGGTGAAGTGTGGAGGAGACAAGCCAAGTCTGCCACCTTGAGCTCACTGCATGAAAGATACGTGTAAATGTAACAGGTACATAAAATATTGGGTTAATTCTGGAAATGAATGTTAGCTTAATATTAAAATAAACCCCCTTTAAAAAAATAAACTTTATTCTGCTTGTGTAAAAAGCTTTTTCCCAGTTTTGGCTAACTTTGCCTTTCCAACTACAGCTCACCATTATCTATCATCCAAATTCTTGGCAGGCTTTTCAACAGACATGGGACAAGTGGGAAATGAAAAAGCTTCCTTCTAGTCATGTTACTTTAGCATCTAAGCCAGGCAGTTCAGTGGAGCAGAACTGAACAAATGAATGCTGTCTGAAATCCCGTTGACACAACTACACCACATAAATGGTGATGATGTAATTATCCTGCACCATTAATCTTTGTTTTAAATTAATGTAAAACTTTCTAGCCCTCCCTTCAGGCTACAAAACTCCCTACAGGTCCCTTTTGCCCAAACTTTTGCAAGCCTCAGAGAGAGGAGGGGAGACGCCTTTGCAATTGGAAAATTGCTGCAAAATTGCCACTGGTGATGCTAAACTGACAGGGGGGATCTCTCACAATTATTTTCCGATTTAAAAGACTTCTCCCCCTGATACCAAAGTCAAATGGGATCCCTAGGGAGCCCCAGAATTGGAAGGATAGGAGGTTCTGCATTAAAATAAAGATTAATAATGGCAGGTAGAGATATGGCATTTTGTTGTTTAGTCATTAAGTCGTATCCGACTCTTCATGACCCCATGCACCAAAGCATGCCAGGCCCTCCTGTCTTCCACTGCCTCGCAGAGTGAGTCAAAGTCATGTGGGTAGCTTCGATGACACTGTCCAACCATCTCGTCCTCTGCTGTCCGGTTCTCCTCTTGCCTTCACATTTTCCCAACATCAGCGTCTTTTCCAGGGAGTCTTCTCTTCTCATGAGATGGCCAAAGTATTGGCGCCTCAGCTTCAGGATCTGTCCTTCCAGTGAGCACTCAGGGTAGAATTCTTTCAAAATGCATAGGTTTGTTCTGTTTGCAGTCCAGGGGACTCTCAAGAGTCTCCTCCAGCACCACAATTCAAAAGCGTCAATTCTTAAGCGATCTGTCTTCTTTATGGTGCAGCTCTCATTTCCATACATCACTGCTGGAAAAACCATAGCTTTGACTATGCTGAACTTTGTCAGCAAGGTGATATCTTTACTTTTGAAGATGCTGTTGAGGTTTGTCATCGTTTTCCTCCGAAGAAGCAGGGGTCTTTTAATTTCATGGCTGCTGTCACCATCTGCAGTGATCATGGAGCCCAAGAAAGTAAAATCTATCATTATCTCCATATCGTCCTCTTCTATTAGCCAGGAGATGATGGTACCAGTGGCCATGATCTTAGTTTTTTTGATGTTGAGCTTCAGACCGTTTTTTGCAGTCTCCTCTTTCACCATCATTAAGAGGTTCTTTAATTCCTCCTCACTTTCTGCCATCAGAGTGGTATCTGCATATTTGAGGTTGATGATATTTCCTCCGGTAATCTTAGTTCCGGCTTGGGATTCATCCAGTCCAGCTTTTCTCATGATGTATTCTGCATATAAGTTAAATAAGCAGGGGGACAATATACAGTACAGCCCTGTTGTACTCCTTTCCCAATTTTGAACCAATCAGTTGTTCCATATCCAGTTCTAACTGTTGCTTCCTGTCCTACATATAGATTTCTTAGGAGACAGATAAGGTGGGGAGGCACTCCCATTTCTTTAAGGACTTGCCATAATTTGCTGTGGTCCACACAGTCAAAGGCTTTTGTGTAGTCAATGAAGCAGAAGTTGATGTTTTTCTGGAACTCTCTGGCTTTCTCCATAATCCAGCGCATGTTAGCAATTTGGTCTCTAGTTTCTCTGCCCCTTCGAGATCCACCTTGTACTTCTGGGAATTCTTGTTCCACATACTGCTGAAACCCACCTTGGAGGATTTTGAGCATAACCTTGATAGTGTGTAAAATGAGTGCAATTGTATGGTGGTTGGAGCATTCTTTGGCACTGCCCTTCTATGGGACTGGGGTGTAGACTTCTTTTTGTTAGCCATGCTTTCTAGGGCCCACTCAATTTCACTCAAGTCTGGCTCAAGGTCATCAACCACAGTATCTGGGTTGTCCGGGACATCCAGATCTTTCTGGTATAAATCGTGTTAGTAGCTTACTACTCTGTGTATTCCTGCCACCTCTTCTTGATGTCTTCTGCTTCTGTGAGGTCCGTACCATTTTTGTCCTTTATCATGTCCATCTTTGCACAAAATGTTCCTTTAATATCTCCAATTTTCTTGAACAGATCTCTGTTTTTTGCCTTTGTATTATTTTCCTCCGTATCTTTGCACTGTTCAATTAAGAAGGCCCTCTTGTCTCTCCTTGCTATTCTTTGGACGTCAACGTTCCATTTTCTGTAACTTTCCCTATCTCCCTTGCATGTTGTTTCCAGTCTCTTCTCTGCTATTTGTAAGCCCTGGTTGGACAGCCACTTTACTTTCTTGCCTTTCCTTTTCTTTGGGATGGTTTTTGTTGCTGCTTCCTGTACAATGTTATGGGCCTCCATTCACAGTTCTTCAGGCACTCTGTCTGCCAAATCTAGTTCCTCAAATCTGTTCTTCACTTCCACTGTGTATTCATAAGAGATATGGTTTAGATTATATCTGACTAGCCCAGTGGTTTTTCCTACTTTCTTCAGTTTAAGCTTGGATTTTGCTATAAGAAGCTGATGATCAGAGCCGCGGTCAGCTCCAGGTCTTGTTTTTACTGATTGTATAGAGCTTCTCCATCTTTTGCTGCAGAGAATATAATCAATCTGATTTCGGTATTGCCCATCTGGTGATTTCCATGTGTAGAGTCGCCTCTTGTGTTGTTGGAAAAGAGTGCTTGTGATGACCAGCTTGTTCTCTTGACAAAAGTCTGTTAGCCTTTGCCCTGCTTCGTTTTGAAATCCAAGGCCAAACTTCCCTGTTGTTCCTTTTATCTCTTGACTCCCTCCTTTAGCATTCCAATGCCCTATACTATAATGATTAGAACATCTTTCTTTGGTGTCAGTTCTAGAAGGTGTTGTAAGTCTTCACAGAATTGGTCAATTTCAGCCTCTTCAGCATTCATTGGTGGTTGGTGCATAAACTTGTGATGTTGAAAGGTCTGCCTTGGATTCATATTGAAATCATTCTATCATTTTTGAAATTGTATCCCAGTACAGCTTTTCCCACTCTTTTGTTGATTATGAGGGCTACTCCATTTCAATAGTAGATATGATAATTGTCTGAATTCAAACCGCCCATTCCTGTCCATTTTAGTTTGTACGGTAGTTGGAGCATTCTTTGGCGCTGTCCTTATTGGGATTGGGATGTAGACTGATCTTTTCCAGTCCTCTGGCCACTTGCTGGCATATTGAGTGTAGCACCTTAACAACGTCAATCTTTTAAGATTTTAAATAGTTCAACTAGAATGCCATCACCTCCACTGGCCTTGTTGTTAGCCATGCTTTCTAAGGCTCATTTGACTTCACTCTCCAGGATGTCTGGCTCAAAGTCAGCAACCACACTATCTGGGTTGTCTGGGACATCCATATCTTTCTGGTACAATTCCTCTGTGTATTCCTGCCACCTCTTCTTGATCTCTTCTGCTTCTGTAAGGTTCCTCCCATTTTTGTCCTTTATCATGTCCATCTTTGCACAAAATGTTACTTTAATATCTCCAATTTTCCTGATCTCTGGTTTTTCCCTTTGTATTATTTTCCTCTTTGCACTGTTTATTTAAGATTTTTGAGATTGTATCCCAGTACAGCTTTTCCTACTCTTTTCTTAACTATGAGGGCTACTCCATTTCAATAGTAAATATGATAGTCATCTGAATTGAATTCACCAATTCCTGTCCATTTTAGTTCACTGACGCCAAGGATGTCAATGTTTATTCTTGCAATCTCCTGTTTGACCACATCCAGCTTACCAAGGTTCATAGATCTTACATTCCAGGTTCCTATGCAGTATTTTTCTTTGCAGCATCAGACTTTGCTTTCACGTCCAGGCACGTCAGCAGCTGAGCATCGTTTCGGCTTTGGCCCAACCACTTCATTAGCTCTGGAGCTACTTGTACTTGTCTTCCGCTCTTCCTCAGTAGCATGTTGGATGCCTTCCGACCTGAGGGGCTCAACTTCCAGAATCATATCTTTTAGCCTTTTGTTTCTGTTTATGGGGTTTTCTTGGCAAAGATACTGGAGTGGCTTGCCAGTTCCTGCTCCAGGTGGATTGTGTTTAGTCAGAACTCTCCACTGTGACCTGTCTGTCTTGGCTGTCCCTGCATGGCATAGCCCATAGCTTCTCTGAATTACTCAAGCCCCTTTGCCACGCCAAGGCAGCAATCTGTGAAGGGCTTTTACGGTACAGTTGTGCTAACTGAATGTAAACAATACCTCACTGTTCTAAAGAGGACAAATACAGTATGTATTCTCAGTTACTTTATTATTTGTTAATTCGAATTTTTAATCCTGTTTTTTTAAATCATTGATTTGACCAACTTATATACTGCTTGCTGTATCTAATATCTGAAATCAGTGTATTCATATAATGTAGTGCTTCCCAAACCTTCTGGCATTATCCCCTTTTTGGTTTCTAAAACAACCATCACAGCACCCTGCCTCTCCTTTATGGTTGTCCAACAACCACTTCTAAAAAAATTATTATCATCATCATCCATAAATTAAAAATAAAAATAAACAAAGAAATCCTGAATTCTAGTAATGAGATATGTCACAGAAATCTCTTTAACCTATTTTTTAAAATTCTTTTTGAACATGTCAGTCTTGTACTCCCCTTGAAATTTCTTATCCCCCCCCCAAAGTATAAGGGACGTGGTGGCGCTGCGGGCTAACCCGCAGAAGCCTGTGCTGCAGGGTCAGAAGACCAGCAGTCGTAAGATCGAATCCACGCGACGGAGTGAGCGCCTGTCGCTTGTCCCAGCTCCCGCCAACCTAGCGGTTCGAAAGCATGCAAATGCAAGTAGATAAATAGGGACCACCTCGTTGGGAAGGTAACAGCGTTCCGTGTCTAAGTCGCACTGGCCATGTGAACACGGAAGATTGTCTTCGGACAAAATGCTGGCTCTATGGCTTGGAAACGGGGATGAGCACCACCCCCTAGAGTCGAACACAACTGGACAAAAATTGTCAAGGGGAACCTTTACCTTACCCCGAAGTATGCCCTTTCAGGTTGGAACCAATGACACAATCATACATGTGGTTTAAGTACATTTATATTTTATATTTTTAACTGCAACTTCATGTAAAAGCTGCAAATACCTGAGGCTTGCAAGAGTGGGAAAATACATTTTTATAGTTAAAAGATTCTGCCTCAAGAGCAGTCTAGGAGTTCTGTAGATTTGGGGGCTGCCAGAATAGCCTTTGGGGCCATACTTTGCCCGGGCCTCCTTTAAATGTTGAAAAGATGTTGCAACTTCTGTCTCTCTTTAGCTAAAGGTAGTCATGTGCTGCCAAGTCAGATCAACTTATAGCGACCCTAATAGGGTTTTCAAAGTAAGTGAGATATTTGGGTGTTTTTACCAGTTCCAACCCCCCCCCCATGAGTTTCCATGACCAAATGGGGATTCAAACATTGATCTCCAGAGTCCTAGTCCATCACTCTATCCACTACATCACACTGGATACCATTTGGGGAAGGGGAGGGACCACGCAGGCAATATGTTCAAGTGAAATTCTGGTTTTCCATCCTACACTGTGCTGATGTAAGTTTGCTTTCCTCCTTATAGCCTCTGACTTTCTTGAGCTTGGGAAATGCCTATTTGGCTCTGAAGAATGTCAGTGAGGCATTGCAGGCTTTCAGACGTGCCTTGGATATTGCTACAAACTGTCTGGAGTGTGAGAAGAACCTGAAGCTGATCCGTTGTTTGCAGTTCTACCCATTTCTCTACAACATCACCTCTTCTTCCTGTAGTGGTAAGCAGCTTCTGAAAAACTTCCAAAATTAATAACCTTTCACCTATTTATCATCCCATTTTTTCATCTGCCTTCATCTACCCAGCTGAAAAAGGGAACAGTGCTTTTCATTTAGATCTGATTGATCTAGCAAAGTTGCCCTCCCTACATTGCTGCCCCATTTCTTACGAACAGCAGAACAATTTATTCAAGGCACTGTCTCCAGATCACTGCTTGTAGTGCTGAACAGTTGAAATGTTCTCAAGTTTATATCCCATTTATTTATACAGCAACTACTAAGATTCTAAAATTACGATGGAAGGGAGAACTTTCCAGAAATAACATCTCTCTAAATTTAGCCCTTCATTTGCTGATAAGAGATGATGTTGTGTTAAAAGCAAGTAGTCTGTTTCTTGAAAACCTGCAATGTGTACTTGAAGAATTATGGATTCCTGTTCAAGTAGAACAGTAGAGAACTTGAATAAATACCCTCAGTACTGTGTAAAAAAACTGTGAAGTATTCATCCTTAATGATGTTCATGCTTCATTAGAAATAAAAAGTTAAGAAGAACTCTTATGCTAAACTTCTGTAATGCATATATAGTTACTCAATAAAGCCGTTATGTCAGGGAGCATTTGAGGATTGGAGTGGAAGGCGTTTATCCTACTTGAGTATAAATTATAGATAATTTTCTGATGTTTCTGAAGATACCTTTTCAGAGGCTTGGAAACAGAACTGCTTATGTGCTGTGGTGGAGGATTGCTGTGGCCTTGCAGATGTTTGGGGGTGCAACTCCTGTAATCCTTTTCCATTGGCTGTTGACGAGAGCTGGTGGGTGTTGTTGGCCCAAAACACCTGGAGGGCAGCAGATACCTACTGCTGCTGTAAATCCAGGCTATCAACACAAATGAATAATCTAGCATAACCTTTCCTCAGAATTTCAATTTCATTTTGAAAATAAAGTTTTTACATTTTAGTAGAAGTGTACAGTTATGAGTAAAGGTTCTATGCAGGAGCCCCAGCTACAGTGTTGCTGAGCAACTGAATAAAATACGTCATGGCCATTTCCTGCTCCAGGTGGATCGTGTTTAGTCAACTCTCCACTATGACTTGTCCGTCTTGGGTGTCCCTGCACAGCATAGCCCATAGTTTCTCTGAATTACTCAAGCCCCTTCGCCACGACAAGGCAGCAGTCCATGAAGGGGGGAAGCATATTAGCCAGAAATAATTAAATGGATCGAAACTGCTGAATGAAGAATAATTAAATATGAAGCTTAATTATAATTTTCAGTATTTAAGGATGGAAATGAGCAATTGTTTAATAAAGACCAAATTGCACATCTTATTGGTGCGGCAAGAGCTGAAATTGCAGAAAACTGGAAAGATGCTCAAAATGTTTCAGTACAAAAATTTGTGAACAGAATCTGGCAAATGGTCCTGATGGAAAAGTTGTAATATTTTAAAAGAATTAATCAGGTATGTTAAACTATGAACTAGTGGATGTGTAAACAAAGACAATGTGCTGATAGACTGCGTAAGCAATGTGATAGTATTGTGCTAAATTTCTAACTTGCATTGTCATACTCTTTGAGAAAATATTGTACTAAAAAGAAAATTGGCGGGGAGGGGGAAGAAGTACCACAGTTACCTGGTGGTAGATGTTGCTGCTCCTATAAGGCACTGAAGGTTAGCTGTGCTGATGATTAGCATATGTTTGGACTATGCTTCATTTAGCATGGATAAACATCTTTGCACAGATCTTAATGTGAATACCAGGATTGAGGTTGGGGAGGGGGCAGCAGTGCCATCAGGTAATATATCTCCATCCCAAATAAAGCACATAATGTGTTTTCAAGAGAAACCCATTTTCTTGAATTGTTCTTGATGTGCCCATCTCTCTACAAAATTGCATTGTAAAAATGGTTACAGAACTGTTTGAAATAGATTATACTAATAGTGGTAGTTATGAGGGCTAAATTCCTGCATGTGTAGATGGTGTCTAATTAGATTTACAAGTACTCATTTATAAGTATACTTGTACTCATAAATATGCTCAAGATTGCACCCAAAATGCTCCATCCAAGCTTCCACTAGTGAAGTTCTGCTCATGTAGTGGAACATCCCCTTGTTCTTCTCCTCCTCATCCCATTTACGCGCAGTAAATCTGTTCTGCAGTGTCTCCCAAATCTCTGACAAAATGCAGATGGTGTGGGATGTAGGGCAAAATTGTTCCTCCGGCAATTTTCATTCCATTCTTGAAAGAGACGGCACCAGATACAACCTTTACAGCCTCCAAACATATCACCTTTTCATCTTAATTTATATTTCCTCCTCCCAAAACACAGAACACTGTACTTTGAAGAGAAAGATCAGCAAAACAAGCAGAGCACATTTTACATTTAGATGGTTAGTGGAAATCTAAAACATTTTGCAGAAATTGGGTGTAGTCTATAGACAGCTATTCAGAAGTAAGTCCTACTGAGTTCAGCGGGGCTTGCTCCCAGATAAACATCAATGCAATGCCAGCCTTAAAAACAGTTTGGACTAGATCAATCTGAGTTGGTGTCTCAGAAAGTAATGTCCAGCCACAGAAGCTGTGTCTTATTTCCCAGAATGACATCCCTAGTACAAAACAGATAAATATATATTACATTGCACCCAGTCCCTCTGTTAAACAAATACCTAATTTGAAATTGGGTGAGTTTGTGTTTGAAGTATACACTGACTACATTGAAACAACAAAAGACATTTTAGTGTTTGAAGTATACACTGACTACATTGAAACAACAAAAGACATTTTAGCATCATCACTGGTCTTTAATTTATAAACAATTTATATACAAAAAGATGCATGTTCAGAGATCCGATCAGTGGCTTAGGTATCAGTGGCTTGCAGATCCAGAGGTTGGGAGTTCAGTCCCTCACTGTACCTCTTTGACAGGTGAACTCGATGATCCATAGGGCCCCTTCCAGGTCTGCAGTTTTAAAATTACTGTTATTGTTATATATGGTAGGTGCAAAGTGCTCCTGCTCCTGCTGGTGTCATCTTTTGATACTTCTTTCAAAAAGATACTTCTTTCAAAAAGTACCTTTTCTGTTGGCAAGTATCTAAAGTCATTTGGAATTCCTATTCAAAGCAGTCCTTTCTGCAGTTCAAAGCAGGTTATAAGGCTTGAGAAAGATTATGAATGCTGGTTGAGAAATATAGATATACTGTATGTGTTATGGTTGAATTGTGAAACTTTACATAATTGGCATAGGAAAAAGCTGCTACACTGACCATCTTTTTCCATATTCGCTGAATGAAGGGCACAGAAAAACAGCTGTTTAGATAGGCCTAAATGGTAACAAATTATAGTTGGTAACGCAGTAAAAATGATACTTTAAGTGCCTTCAGATGAGTATCTTCTAAAATGGGTACAGCTTATATAAATGTGGTGCGAACCTAAAATAATTTACATGCATTCATTTGCTTGTAAGTGCTCAGTAAGCCTCACAAAGCTCTGTTTCTGTTAACTATAGAAAAAATAAAAATACTGTAGTTTACTTGATACAGAAAAATCATGTATAGTGCAGTACTCAATGGAGAGAAAATTCTTCCTTCTTTCTCTGGCTATGATCTTGGGACCGGGGCAGGGTAGGGGAACCTCTCAGAAAGGTGTGAGCTGTAAAGTGGGCAGCAGCAGTGAAATGGGAAATTGAGCAGAAATACCTTTTTTGAGGGAAGCATCCATAGTCCCCCTGGTCCATTCCAGACTTTGCTCTCTGACCCATCAGAGGCATGGATGGATGAGTGGGGCTTGGGCAACTGCTAGGGATCAGGAAGGCAAGAGAGATTCCCTTTAAGTGATCACTGCAATGAAAATAACCCAGTATGCTGTTGCAAAGCCACATATAAAAATACATAGTTTTATAAAATAAATACTAAAATAAATATCTGAAGGAAGTGAAAATGAAAAGGGATAATACAGTATTAGTAAACTGATTGAGGATATCAGAAGAATCTTCAAAGGAATGGTTCCCAGGCGCTTTCTAAAGATTTTTTATTTTTTTAATTTATTTCGTGTCATTTATAGGCCTCCTTTCTCCCTATGAGGGGACTTAAGGCAGCTCACAACAATAAAGCAAGTAAAATTTGAAACACAATAGATTGTACAAATACCAATTAAACTATAATAGTTTAATAATAATTAAACTAATTATTATATAATAATTAATAATTAAACTATAATAGTTTAATATATATTAAGTGATTAAAACATTTGAAACTGGGAAAAAAACATACTTAGCTAAAAGAGCATGTGGGACTCAAGCCTGTCTGAAAAGGTGGGTCTTCAGCGTGTTGGCAGAAGGATGAAAGGTAGGGGGCCCACCTAATCCTCTGAGGGAGACATTGCACAATCTGGGAGTTGCCACAGAGAAGGCCCTCTTTTGTGTCTCCATCAAGTGTACCTGAAATGACAAAGGGACCACAAGGAGGCACCCTCTGAGGATCTTCTGAGTCGAAAAGGCTTATATGGGGAGATAAGGTGCTTAGATATTCTGGACCCAAGTCATATAGGGCTTTATAGGTAACGACCAGTACATAGAATTTGGCCCTGAAATGGACTGGTAGCCAGTGAAGTAGTTGTAGCTGTTATGTGCTACCTGTAATGCCCCAGTCAGCAGTCTGGCTTCTACATTTTGAACCATGCTCAAAGGCAACCCCACCTAGAGCATGATACTGTAATACAAGTGGAATGTAACAAAGGCATGTATCACTGCAATGAAATCAGACATCTCGAGGAATGAGTGCAGCTGGCACACCAGTTTTAATTGTGCACATGCACTCCTGACCGTTGACAAAATTTGGGTATCCAGGCTCAAGGATGAATCCAGGAGTACACCCAAAATGCAGACCTGGGTTTTCAGGGGAAGCATAACCTCATCCAGCACAGGTTGCATTCCTATTCCTTCATAAGCCTTCCAATTGACCAGGAACACCTCAGTTGTCTGGCTTAAGTTTTAGTTTGCCCTCACC